GAGGAGGAGGAGGAGGAGGGAGACGACCAGGATGGCGATGATTGGGATGATGAGGGCTGTCCATGGTGGCAGCGATAACGGTGTTGATGATGCATGCCATTCTTCCACACACACACACACACACANNCACACACACACACGCACGCACACGGACACCGAGAGAGAGTGAACGGATGGATGGGTAAATGGGTACATCGCTAGATAGATAACTTGTATAGGTTTTCCTACTGGACGCATACAAACATATATGTGTGTACATATATATATATATATAGATATACATATATATATGTATATATATATACATATATATAGTGTATGTATACATGGATAGTTAGATATTGTATATATATATGTGTATATATGTACATATGTATGTATATATATGTATATATATATGTGTGTATATATATATGTACATATATATGTATGTGTATATATATATATATATGTGTTCTATGTATATGTATATATATATGTATAGATATGTATATCTATTATACATATATATATACATATGTATATATAAATATGTATATGTATATGTATATGTATATGTATATGTATATGTATGTGTGTATATATATATATATGTATGTATGTATGTATGTGTATATTATATATATATGGATATATGTGTATATATATGATGTATACATATATTTGTATATATATGTATGTGTTTATATATATATATACTAATACATACATACATACATTCCTTCATACATACATACATACATACATACATACATTCCTTCATACATACATACATACATACATACATACATACATACATACATATGGCGCCATGCGCACTTTCCAACACGACCACCGTTCTCCGAGGGCACGGCCATAACCCGACGGAGCGCCGCGAAAAATTAAGCTCTGCCCGAAAATTCTCAAAATCTGCGAGCCAGTAGGAGTGCGTGGCAGTCATGCAGGCTTGGCAGGGGCAGCTTTGGAGTTCAGTCAGAATCTGTTTAGAAGTGTAGTCTCTGTGATGGGGTTGAAAGTTGCCAATGGGTTTTGGCCGCAGAGGCCGCAAGGCCTAAGGCGTAAGCAACTGGCGAGTTCAGATTATCTCATCACCAGGTGTGGTGGGGTCACTGGGTAATTTTTTCCGAAGCCTGGATGCCATGACAGTGCAGCGAAACCCACAAAACAAATGCCACCGCTCGGAACCGTAATGGCTTTCTTCGACTCATGCACGCATCTGAGTCAAATCGCCGACAAGGATTCTGGCCTTACAGATCTCCGCTTCAGCACGTGCCAAGCTATGATCCAATCATGCTCCAATTTTACACGGCTGGGCTGTCTCCACTGCACTTAGTCTCGCTTCTGCTGTTGTTCTCCACTCCTGCTCAAAGCCTGGCGATTGGACTGACTAACGAGGAACAGATGGAAGACTGTCGAACTTTAGAATGACCACTACTTCTAACTTGCACATTCATGCTCCGTGAGTCAAGGTGCAGGGTAGGTGTTGTTTTCCGTCCTTCCTCGCGACTGCAGTGCCAGCTTTGGGGCTTCGGAAGTGTGGAGCTGGCTGCTTGGGTCAATGCATCGAAAGCCAAACCCACTGCTTAAGCCCGCTGTCGGAACAGTAGATTCGAACGCAAGTTTCGCCCAGAATGCACTTTTTCGGCATTCCCGATCACTACAATGCGTAAGGCGACTGGGATGAATGCTTTAGGGGCCGGGGCTTAGCGTCGAGGCCTAGGCTGTACGAAAGCATTGGGTGCAGCTATGATCCCTGAGGATCTAAAGGCTCGCCCTTGCACGCGGAGAACACAGTTGGTTTTGCTACACGAAGAAAGAGCAGCTGGTGTCTTGAAACAGAAACGGTTCCAGCGCATACATGCAAGTGTTATGCCATTGCTGCACGTACATGACATGACTGCAAGTCCTGACCGGCAGGGGGCGTCTAGAATTTTAATGAACACCCCTTCCCTCCCCCCCTCCCTCCTCTCTTCCTCCTCTCTCCCTCTTCTCTCCCTCCTCTCCCCCTCCTCTCTCTTTCTCCCTCTCTGCCTCTCTCCCTCCCTTCGCGTCCCCCTCCGCTTGCCCCTCCCTGAATCATTCCTTTACATAAATACATATATATATATATATATACATGTACATACATATATGCATGCATGGACACATACCTGCATGTGTGTACATATCGTCGTGAAGCCGATAGAACGAGTCTTTTGAGCAAATCGTCATGTGTTTCATAAGCTCCCCACACTCTAACCAATCCCTTCGAGGCACAGGTCATCCAACAACTCGAGCAAGCATCCTCTTCGAGGGAGCTCACCAAAGAGCAGAGTAGAAAGACAATCCGAAGCCAGAGCTCTCAATTGCCATGAATTGAAGCGAAGTTGGCGGTGTGTTGACCCTGTGATCAAGCCGCACCTGCAGAAAACAGTTGGTAGGCATAGGCGAAGTTTCGGTTCCTGGCTAACTCGCATTTCAGAAGGACCTTTAGTTTGCAAGCTGCAGTGTTTGATAAAATCAGGATTTACGGCTTGGAGTTTGGCATCGAATCGAGACCCCAAACCCTAAAACCCGGAGCCTAAAGCTTCCACTTGGGAATCAAGGTGATCTGTCTCGCCGGCTGCTTCAGAGTTCGACTTTCTCCTCCTGGACAACGGATAACCTACTGTGGTACATCCGGTCAGGCTACTGCCTGCTTCAGGAGTTTACGGACTTGGCTTGCCACAACCCACCAGTGTGGACCGTTGCAGAGTACATACTGTCGACCTTGCTCGCGTCGCTACTAGTATTGCATGCAACTCTAGTCGCTTATCGAGGGTCCTGAGCTTAAAATGGCTGTCTGCTCATGGGTTGGATCCGGCACAGCCGCTTGCTTGAGGCATGTGATGCTCTTTACATCTGAACTTAACATAAGTCTGCCGGGAGACGGATGCAAGCAGGCACGGAGCTCAGCAGCTTGTGTTGGAAACCATCTTACATGTCGCACCCGGCGAAGCGGACTCTAAACAAAGATATTGTTCTCGCGATAAGAAATAGCACTAGGTCAATAGATGTTCGATGTTCGGATTGGGAGAATGTAACATGCAAAGGCTGCAGCAATCTTTGTATGGAGATGGATCATGATGCACGAAGAGCGACACCTTCGGAATTGTGATAGCCTCCACATCAACAGCTTCGACAAGCATGGAACTCCTCGGCGACGCCCTGGCTGGACAGCTGCATGATCATGTTGATCCGCCTGTTCAGCCATTTAAGCTGCCTCGGCAAACAGGGCCAACAGGTGGCGCCTAAGGCAAGTGCATGCATGCATGTATGTATATATCTCGCCAGCTAGCTATCTGGCTAGCTACATATGTACGCATGTATGTACGTATGCATGTCAGTATGTAGGTATGTATACATGTATGAGCCTATGTATGTATGTATGTATGTATGTATGTATGTATGTAAGTATGTACGTACGGATTTTCATGTATGTGCGTATGAACAAATGTACGTGTGTATACATGCATGATTGGTATGTCTATGTGTGAATGCTTGCATGCCTGTATATGTATGTATGTACGCATGCATGCAGGCATGTAAAAGCGTAACTATGTAACTATGTAAGTAGGTAAGGAGGTGGGAAGGTAGGTAGGTAGGTAGGTAGGTAGGTGTATATGCCTGCATGCACGGATGCGTGGATGCATGCATGTTGTGTGTATGCATGTACGTATGAATGCATGCATGGATGCATGCATGGATGCATGCATGGATGCATGCATGGATGCAATGGATGCATACATGTTTGTACGTACGCAGGCATGTCTGTATGTACGCAAGTGCGCATGCACAAGTGCATGTATGCATGCATGCATGTTCTATGTATGCATGTATGCATGCATACATTCACGGATGCTTGGACGCACGGATGCATGCATGTATGCATGCAGGTAGGTATGTGTATGGGTATGTAAGCATCTGGGTATGTAGGTATGTACGCATGCATGCATGCATGCATTCGAGCAAACATCAGTAAGTTCATCGACATGCATACCTCGTTCGTTCGTTCGTTCATTCATTCTCTCACTCACTCACTCACTCGCTCGCCCACACGATCCATCATTCATTAACTCGTTCATTCATACGGCAAGACCGTCCGATAACCGGTCCGAGGTATTTTCCCGGTTCTCAGAAGGAAACACCCCGCCTACACCCAAATTTCGAGCCCTGATCCGGTTTTAGACAAGCTGCTCCCTGGTGAATTTGCCCTGGGATTTCATCCCCTCCAGCCTCAAACTGCAAGCAAGGCTTCAAGGCATAAAGAACTCCTGGCGTTGTAACTGCCGGGTGAGGGCGTATCGGTATTGTCCGCGCCTTGATTCTTGCGGACTACAGCTTCGTTCGTAGGAGGTATTTCGGCAGAAAGGCGTGTAGCACAAACGGTTGCCGAGCGGCAATAAAGTCAGTAGCCGCAGCAATGCTACCAGTCGTCCTCGACATCGTCGTCGCAACCAACGTCGTCGTCGTCATTGTCGGGACAGTAGCAGTCGTAGTCCAGATAGTTCTAGCCGGTGGTGGCAGCGCTACCAGCGGAGTGTCGTAGTAGGCGTCGTCATGGGTAGTGGTAGTAGTAGTAGTAGTAGTAGTAGTGGTAGTGGTAGTCGTGGTGGTAGTAGTAGTAGTAGTAGTAGCAGTAGTAGTAGTAGTAGAAGAAGTAGTAGAAGAAGAAGTAGTAGTAGTAGTAGCAGCAGGAGTAGGAGCAGCAGCAGTAGTAGTAGTAGTAGCAGCAGGACGACGACGACGACGACTACGACGACGACTACTAGACTACTACGACTTCTGCGACTACCACGACTGCTACGACTACTACGACGGCAACCACTACTACGACTACTGCTAGTACGAGTACGACGCGACAACCAACAACCAACACTGCGACTACTGCTAGCGCGAGTACGACGACGACATCCAACAACCACTACTGCGACTACTGCTAGTACGAGTACGACTGCTACTACTGCAGCTGCTACTACAACAACAACAACTACTACTACTACTACTACTGCTGCTGAAACTGCACTACTCCTGCTACTCCTACTACTCCTGCTGCTGCTCTTCCTCCTCCTCGTCGTCCTCCTCCTCCCACCACCACCGCCGCCACCACCACCACCACCACCACCACCACCACCACCACCCCCACCGCCACCCCCACCGCCACCGCCACCGCCACCGCCACCGCCACCGCCACCGCCACCGCCACCGCCACCGCCCCCGCCGCCGCCGCCGCCCACCACCACCACCACCACCCACCACCACCACCACCACCACCACCACCCACCACCACCCACCACCAACCACCANNGTATTAGTAGTATTAGTATTAGTAGTAGCAGCAGTAGTAAGAGTAGCTGAAGCAGTAGCAGTGGTAGTTAGTAGAAGCAGTCGTCGTCGTCGTCGTCCTTGTCGTGAGTTTTTGCAGAAGCAGCAGCTGCAGCAGCACAGCAGCAGACGTCGCAGCAGCAGTCGTCACCATAGGGTGGACAAGGTCGTGGCGCGTGTACCTATGTGATTCTGCTGTGGGTGGCCGGCCTTTTCTGCTCAGCCTGAAGGCTTACCCGGCTCTTCCCGGTGTGCTTGTCCAGGTAAGCCAGGTCCTTCGAGCGAAGACCAATGATTGTCGGCAACGATCCACTCGCCAAAACAGCTGGAGTAAGCTGCGCGGAGTCGTGTGCGGGCTGCGAACCGGAGAGGCACCCGTGCCCAGGATGTCGGTCCTTGTCTTCACAGTGCTCGTGTGTCCGGACGATGCACTTTGGCACCAGGCGTTCATGGATGAAAGCCTCCAGGACATCAGCTTCCCAGTCCCGCTTGTACCTGGAACATGTCAGCTTCGAGGGTGCAAGGATTAGCTCTCGCCAATGTTCCACAGGGCATGACGAGGAATCGTTCTTGCGACTGCAAACTGCAAATCCTTTTCCGTCTTCCTCTAACCACAGACGCCACGCTTTCCCTGAACACGGAGATCTCTCACTGTTAGCCGAAAATTTCCGCAACCCCTGTAAAACTCTTAAGCGAACCCAACACCACGGAACGAATGTCAAAAGTTCAGTAAGGCAGCTGAGGGACCTGAACCATTTCGACTGCTGCCTCTGTCAGCTCAATCAGTTTTACTACCATTACAATGCCTTAAGGAGCTATGGAGATTTGCGATGTCATACCATGCATCATGAATGTATGCAACACGTATGCATGATATTGGTGCTTCGAGAAATCTTGCATGCACATACACGTACATGTAACGCACACAAGCATCCACTTTGGCCCCACACTCTCAGAAGCTGAAGATCGCAAGGCCTGGCCTCGAATCTAAAGTCTGACTCGTCCAATCTCACTCATTCCGTCCAAAGACTCGAATTGAATGCAAGCCAAGCCGTTCTTGGCTTAGCCTCTTGCCACACACACTCAAAGCAATACGGCAATACGGCAACGCAGGACTTCAGAATTTTATACAGAGAAGGTCTCCATACACTGTGTCACAGGCAAGCAGAGTACTGCAGGTTACTGGAGGTTGCCAGCTCAACACAGCATTCGATGAGACCAGTCTGTTCAAGTCTGTTCCGGATGCCGTGCTAACATGTGATTTCCAACATACTTCAGTTGCACAGCCCATTGGCTACGTTCAAGACATGGCACGAACTTTGTGACAGCAATGCCCCGTCATGTGCATCCCATGGCAACCTCAAGAAGCTCCTGTGACTCGACCAAGGCATCATTCGGGCAGACAACATCTGTCTTACAACCCTCATAGATGGCCCTGAGCATGGAGCAGCTGCTTGAGTTCACATGGTGCAGAACGCATGGCAGGTCGTGAACAGGTGCCTGCAATGCTTGCACTGTGGCATGCCGTCATGTGAAAGTTCCATCACCTGGCTTTTACGGATGGCTTTGCCTCCTGATGTTGGCTAAGTTGTCGGTCCTCCTTGATGTGAGGCCTGAGGATGTGTCGCTTGAGAGCGGCCCGTTTCGCAAGAGCCTGTCCACATTCCTGTGCATATATACATGTAGATGTCATGAAACTGTAAGCAGGCCCACACGGCTTGGCATGCGTGCAGGGACCTGTATGGCCATGCCAATGCGATCGTGTGGTACATGTTGGTACGCCCATGTACTTATATAAGAGATAACTATATTTATGCATGCATTCCTGTCAAGTTTCCTTGAAACGCCATGACCTTGCGTCAGGTGCTTCAGCGAACCTATGCCTCTTGAACCCATCAAGTCCGCACAAAACGCACCTGCTGCCTCCGCGGGTCTCTCACAGATACACACACACATCACACTGTGTACCAAACCATCCATCCTCGGCCAGGCCTGTCAAAGTACTTGATGGTCGGGATGTGCCCTGTTTTCTTGTCGCAGACCGGATCGATCTCGTGCTTCTTGCACACTGAAGGCACCGAGCCCGGAGAACTCAGCCTGAAGATTCTGGGCGGGCCGCCCGGTCAGCCGCGCAGGAAACTCCCCCAGTAGACGCACTCTGCATCTGGTCGCAACTGGAACCCAACCGAATCTGAACACCCTGGTCCGAAACCCTACACTCAAAAGAGTGCGCCAACAAAGAATGATGTCTCTATGATGCTTGCAACACCGTACCCCACTGCATTAACATGAGTTGACTGTAGTGCTGTACGACTACTTTGCGACTTTTCATCTTGCATCCTTTTCCCGAAACAGCTGTGACTGCTGCACGCCTGGCAACCCGCCCAAGTCGTAGGCTGGTTGACCACAATCGATATGTGCCACCAAGACCTGTGATGATTTCAAGGCTGCGGCAAGCAGAACATGCTGCGTTGTGCGGCAAGGCGGCAGGTTGCAAAGGCAGAAGTGATTTCCATGTCGCGGGCGACCAGCAGAAAGCATCAGCCCACTTGCCTTATCGGACCCCTGCCAGTCAGCCATCAGCTCGGTCCAGGTCGCCTTAGATGTAAGGCCCGTGATTTCAAAGCGGCTTCTTCATGAGATTAACTTCGAGGGCCTCGAGTGCGGAATTCGAAGTGATCGGACGGACTCAGCTGGCACTACGACTTTCCATCGCAAAACGGATGTTAGCTGCAGTGAATGGCCAAGTTGCAGCGGATGGCTCTACCTCGATACCTGCTGGCCCATCTTGGCACTGTGCGCCCAACCCGTCTCATGCAGCAGAGTAACGTTCAGCTTGTTTTTACACCAGGGACAGAAGTCTGAGCAAAAAAGCACCAGCGCATTCTTTCCAGCCGCCGCGATCGCGTCATCGAAGTTCTCGTTCCTAGGGCAGCAGGTCGCTTTCTCGCTCGGGCCTTTCGGTTGGTCCAGAGGCCAATTGCCATACTGAGCCCTGTCTTGAGCAAAGCGCAGAACGGCGCCTTGAGCCGGATAGACCTTGACCTCCCTCCGTTTACAACGTGCAAGCAGCACTTTCATTCTTGGTTATGTGAAAGCCCAAACCCGCAAGTGCCCTCTCTCTTCCCGACGGGGAACTGCAGTTCCAAAGCTTGGCCAATCCTCGGAGATGCAAAGGTGCTGGAATTTGGACGAGGTCATTTCCAGCTTCAGGGGCTGGCCTAGGCGTCCCAAAAAACATCGTTGACTCTGAGAGAGCTGGCGCCTCTACCGCAGTCTCTGCGAGTTCCGGCAATTATCAGCTTTTCCGGGTACAATACCTGCACGAATGAAGAGCGAAGCTGCCTTGTTGAGGTGAGATGAATGGCAGGTGACCAGCCACGGGATTCCCGTCAGCATCAGAGGTTGCACGTCTCGCCGGCGGTTCGAACCGCAACACACTTGTTCAGAAGCTCTTTCTGCTCAAACTCAGCAACACGCTACCAGCCTTGCAAAGCCGAAGGACGCCAGAATCCAGGGCATGAACTCCAGGAGTTTGATGCGCCCCATTGCTGTGGCCAAGGTATGCTCGAGGACTATGGACTCCAACCGCTTGAAATTTGGAACGGGCAGCTCCGGGTAAGCGCTGGCACTGTTCGGCACATGCTTCTCCACATCAAACTCACAATCCGCATTAACACCAACACGGCTTGACAGCTGAAATATCATCATGCAAAACGTGACCGGTCTCGTTGAAGCTTCTTCTAGGACTTTGCAGCCAAGCATGTCCAAGCCAGCAACGGTTGAGCCGAAAGCCTTTCCCTCTCTGGCGCGCCTTTCACAAGCAATGCACTCAAGCAAGGACACCGAGGACACTGTGGCAGCTTGTCTCCACTACATAAAATACTATGTGACCATGCACTACAGAGTGCGCAGCAGACAGGCATGCAGGTGAGTCAATTTTGATTTTTTCCGCAACCAACCAGTACCAAAGCCACCCATGCCTTTCTTTGGGCTGTGTGGTGCCCAGCAGGTTCACAGTGATCTGACCCGATGTAACAGAAGCTGAACTTACGAGTTGGGGCAAGGTGTAGGGGCCTGCATTTTACGCTCTGAGCATGTAGCTTGAGTGACGTCCCTATTCTGCAAAGGCTGCTGCTGTCAATAGCTGCTCTCAGAATAGTTTTCCCGCCGTGGAGCCTCGCACTACGCATCGCGCTCACAGCTGGCGTCGGGGTTTTCCTGTCAAGCAGGTATGATAGAGCAGAACAGCAAGGAGAAGAGAACGACAAGAAGATCAATACTGAAAGAGACCGAACTGATCAACACTGGAGTCAATCGGCCTGGAATTGACGCAGTAGCGGGTGCTCGTGCTCCGAATGCCGGCAGAGTCTACTGTAAAGCCTCGGGTACCGGCTCTGTCGCTACCGTTGCAGAAACTGCCAACAAGTTCAAAACGAACAGGCATTCGTGAATGCGGACATCCCAGGAGCTGGTAGGTCTGGAAAGCTAGCCAGAAGAGGAACAGAAGATTGAAGCCGCTGAATCCTCGGCATTTACTGACTGTATCGGTTGTCTGGGGATCTCCCAACATTTCTCGGCAGGATGCAACAACTTACACACGTGGAACTAGCCTCTTCGAAGAGATAGCCAAAGAACAAATTTTAGAGCCGCCGCGGACATGCGCTAGGAAAAAGAAAACGATTTTGAATGATCGCAGGCAAGGTCCGTCGGTGCAGTGTGTCTGCAGGGTTTTTTTGGGAAAGCAGGCGACGTGGATCGAATCCTCACGTTCAACCGCAGAAGCTTTGAAGTGCTAGTCGGTGCTCAGGAGATGAAGGATTGAGGTAAACGTGGTGATGGAGCAATGAGAGGAGATAATTTTACCAGCACAAGTGAGGACGAAAAAAGGTGGACAAAGGTCGCGGAGCAATGACATCACTGATCGGAAAACGGGGGGAATGAGCGAGCTCAGGCACCCCGCATCGCACATTTCAGGCAGCAGACAAGAGCGAGGAGCGCCGCAGGGGAACACAAATCGAAGGACTAGCCAGAGCTCAGTAAGTAGATGGGTAGGTGCCGAACGAGCAGAACAGGACGTGAGAGTAAGAGCTGGAAACAAAAAGGATGAAAAATGATGAAAACGGGGATAATCAAGCAATACAGATCCGCTTCGAATGACAAAGCAGAGCCGTCGCACTGAGGGAGCAAAGGCAACCTAAGGTAGAGGTAGTAGTAGTAGCAGTAGTAGTAGTAGTAGGAGTAGCAGCAGTAGCAGTAGCA